GTACAACCCAATCCTTCCATCATCACCAGGACCCAACACCCACTCCTTATGAACAGGAAGTCTGATTGTTTTTTCTGGTCACGCAGTACCTTTGCCCATGGCAATATTTCCAAGTGTTCTCTCCTGCGTCATCAAGTACATACAGTACTGTCCTGGCCACCAGTCAAGAGCCTAAGCATCTGAGGGGACAACAAGAGTGTGTTATTGGTTTCCCCAGGAGGCTGTCCACTGCACTCTGATAAGACTCTCTCGTTTAAGTGGCACATCTTGGGAGACATGTACTTGGAAGATATAAGAAGAAAAATGATACTCATGTTTTTCCTAAATGGTGGGGTTTATTTCATTGCTCACATACAATTGAATGAGACAAACTATTTACATAAAACCTACGTACAAAAAATATAATACAATTTATGCTGTACATCATCAAGATTCTCTTATTTTGTTCCCCCAAATTGTAGGCAGACAGAGATGATAGGAGTGAGGAGGGAGTGGCCATGAGAGGAAGAGGGCTGCACTCCTGGGAGTAGTCAGAATCATGCTTCATGAATTTGTTGTTCATAAAAGGATGGGTGGGGTTGAGCTCTAGAAGTTGGCAATGCACCAGGAATGTGAGTGAACACAACATTTTCACCGCTAGAAGAGCTCACTTCATCTCATGTGTGTCCATTTTCCCTGGAGAAAAAGGAGCTTGGAGCAAGTGTGAATTGTTTTTTGCTGATTGGCTGGGTAATACCCCATCCAGATCCTTTCTTAACTTCCATAATTGATCCAATGCAAGACAGACAGAGCTCCCTGCCCAGTTTGCCACAATTAGTGTCTTAAACTAATTCTGAAAACCATGTTATCTGTCAAGTGTCATTAAGCAACAATGTGAGGCATAGTCCTGGACAGCTCTCAGGCAGAATCTAAGACCAGCGTATTGATGGACAGAAAACAGACAAAAAGTGATGCTCACTGGAAATTGCTGTTGCATATGTCTACCAAGAAGTGTTCAAAGGAAACCTTGAGGACCAAATATAAGCGTCGAGAAAAAGTGCAGTGTGCCCAGTGACCCCACAAAAAATCCAGGCATCCCCGAGCACTCCAACACAATTACCAATATCCTATTTCCTCAAAGAAAGGGGGGATATAAAACTATTTCATTCTTGAAAAAAATCCCTGCAATGTTTAGAACAAATTGCATATTAATAATTAATTTTATATCAGTAATCTCTGCAAGCTTACCAAGAGCTGAGTAGGTTTTGGAGAAATTTCAATGAAAAAAAAAATGAAACAATCCCAAATAAGTTTATTTTGTATCACAAAACAGGCAACAGCAGGTGAACACAAAATGAGGCGTAACATGTTTAAATGCGAATCAGTGGCAGAACACACAGGTTTTGCTACACACTTTTGAAGAACCCTGTGCAGGACCAAGCTTGTGCATTTTCCTAGCAGCTGTGCGGAGCTGCTGTGGTGTCTCCAGGTGCTGGGGCTGAGGCGCCTGTGCTGCTTTCCATCCACGTGCAGAAGTTCAAGCTTGATTTTTGACCACGATTATGGTATAAAGCAAAAGCAGTCCACTTTAGCAGAGAAAACATTGTTAAATTAAAAAAAAAAAAACACAAATTAACAACTTTTGCAAATATGTGAAGCAGTATTGACGTTGAATCTACAAAAATAATCAATTAGACAATGTTCTAGGTGGTCCTCCTTCCACACCCAACTCTGTACCAATTGTTAACAGCATGTGTCTGGTTTCTCTCTTCCTGTGCACTTGCCTGGAGGGGGACAGAAACAAAGGCCTCTAACTTGTACAGGCATCATGCTGACCTTCCTGTTAAGGACAGATGCTGCTGTGTGTTCTGGAAGATGTAGGAATTAGAGCCATGTCAGTTTCTGGGAGACTGAGGCGGGGTTTCCCACTTTTCTGAATACACCATTGCCCAGTGGGAGCAAATGCACACCTGGAGATGAAGTGTGTCTTGGTCATTTTCTATTCCTGAGTTCAGAGTGGTGTGTAAGGATGATTTTCTTTAAAACATATCCAATCAACCATCTGCTTCTAACTGGAACCCACACTATTGAGTGTCACGGTACTCCATCATCTTCAACAAGGCACTAGCGACATTTTACGGGAAAGCACACTACCATTTCACACTCATTGTCCAAATAAGCAGGGTGCTCAGAATGGCTTCTAGTATCCAATAATAGATAATCATGGATGATAATAGGTAATCAAATATTGACAATGTCATGTCAGCATAAATCCCCATGAAGAGATGGAGGCTTTTGGAAGAATGGATGTGCTGGTCATGGCCAATTCCATCAGCAAACTCCAGCTTGGATCATTAAAAACAATGGCAGAAAGTTTGCATACGAGTTGATTTCACGTTACTAGTTTAATTTGATTATTTGAGCTGTGGGATTTAGACCTAGCTTGTCACTTGCGAAATGGCAATTTTAATGTTAATTTAGTTCACTTTATCAACCTATGTTACCTGCTGCCTCCGGAAGGTGCTCTAGAGCCATGTTCTGAGACAGAGACACTAAACTCACTGGAGTTATCCCCAAATGCCACTCAAATCAGGAAAGTCTCACTGAAGTATAAAGAACACTTCAAAGCTACAGAAAGTTGATGGCTCTGGGGCCATGCAGATGAGGGAAATGGCTTGACCAGTGCTCGGGGAACTAATTTGATTTATTACAAAAGCAAGACAAATAGAGTAAAGAAGTATAAGAATATTTGTAAATTCAAATGCTATCAAAGTTGTGTTTAGGCAAAATGAATAGCTGGATCCATCCCTGATGTATTATGTCTAGGAAAAAATTTCCTGTAACATCCCATTAAACTTTAATGTAACCTTTAGTGATATCTTGGGGACACGGAGTCTGCCTTGCTAAGACTTTGTCCACAATGTCAAAGGCAAGACCCATTAATTCTACCAAATATTCTGGTCAGAACATTCACTGGAATAGGCTTTGGCTCCCGTGATTTCCACCCTTTTGTGTAAGAATATAAACAAGGACACCTTTGCCTCGGACTGCTGCACTCTGGGCAGCTGATCCTGGAAGAGTCCATAGGTCATGCCCACAGGACTGTCATGTGGACGGTGATCCCCCCAGGGCCTGGCCTTAGCACTCACAGGGGAGTGACAAGACCTCATCTTTCCATGGCACCTACTTATTGTTCCCATGTTTGCTTCTTTTTTCTCTGGCATGGCCTATGGGCCAGTGGGGCCAGAAGCTGGTCCACTGAAGACCCTATCTAGGGACTGAGGTGACTCCTTGGTGAGGAGGCCTTCAGAGCATTCAGTGCTTCAAATTCCTCTTCAGTCCCTTTAGAGTCTCTGCCCACCACTATGCACATAGAAGCCCTCTTCCCTTTCCCTCATACTGAGGCTAAGTCCAGTCAGACTCTTAGACAGACATCTCTGCAGGAGGGTTCATGTAGACAGGAGGGGTCTGGAGCAGGGAATAGCAGTGCACTGATGGGGGACTATTATCCCACAGGTGGTTAAAAGACTCAAACTCCAGCTCAAATACAGCCAAACCAAACATGGTTCTGCCAAACAAGAGAGAGGGTGAGGTGGGGAGGCGATTTTCCTTTGAATACAGTGTCAGGTAGCAGTGAGTGAGGGGCTTTTTTCACAGTAGAACTCTAGAGGGTTTCTACTGTCCACACCATGAGAGCTCTGGGGTGCAGAGGGTGTACCCTGCATTTACATACATGTAGTAGAGACCAGCTTAGATGCCACTGGAAACATGTCCATTAAGCCCAATGACAAGTTCTTGAAATTTAGCATTCTCCCTCTTAGGGGAAGTAAAGTGACTTTGAAACTGAGAAAATATTCAAGAAGGGAAGATGTGTGTGTGTGTATGTATGTGTGTGTGTGTGTGTGTGTGTGTGTGTGAAAGAGAGAGAGAGAGAGGAGAGAGAGAGAGAGAGAGAGAGAGAGAGTCAGTTCATTCTACAGAGTGAAAAAAAACTTTTTCTTAGCAGAAAGTAAAGAGTCCAAGCAGACAATGAAAACCCAACCAGCCATCTGTGCATTTTACCTGTTAGTGCGGATTTCAAGAACGTGTGTACAGCAGTGGACTCTTGCAGTGTGCCTAGAATGCATGAAATGCCACATGGAGCCCCACTGGTGAGGTCCTGTACATCAACCATTTACAATCTAACATTCCAGATCCAACCTAGCACATCTCCTAGAGCCCACCTGCCATTTTTAAAATTTTAATACAGAACCATTTTTGCAAATTTGGGCATTTGGGAATCTTTTGAATTGTACAATATTCATTATTAATCATAGTTTTCCAACATTTTCTGAAATTGCTTCTTTAAATTGGATATAGTGAAAACGCATATGCTAATAATGTTCTGTGTTCTTCGCTACCCGTACTATATATTTTCACAGATCTGAAGGTCCATTTATCAAGAAGAACAGATATAGCTATCTACTCAGGCCTTTATCACAATGCCCGGAGGATTCAGATGAACATTTTCAATTTTGTTCTTTCAATAATTATTGAACCAGCTGCCACATGCTACGTGTCAGTTGTGTAAAATTTTTATCTTTTCTTTTCCTTCTGGGGACTTCTAGCAATGGCTTTAAAACACTATGAATCGTTAATTAATGACCAACGCTGAGACCATGGAGATCATCCATCCTTACTTCCAAGTGCACCTGAACTGCCTTTGCCTCTCTGCAGGGAAGAGTGGGACTTGGTGAGACTGGGTGGATGGGAGGCAGACTGGGGTAAAGAGAAGGCACCGGAACAAAACTCTCCCTCCTCCCTTGGCCTAGGGCAGTGAGTGCAGCTTCTGCTGGGGGTCCCATCAGGTAGACTGAGGTGGGCTCTGGAGAGCCAGCTTTACACATCATTAATGCTCTAGTAGGGGCTGATTGCCATACATTAGTTACATCAGGGAGATGGAGAACAAAAAGATATTTCATTAAATGTCAGTTCTTTCAACGCTTGGCATAACGTGGAAAATAAAAAAAGGTTGTTTTCAATTATAGTTCAGTATTTTTAATACTTTCCTTAATCAGCATCATAAAAGTCCAGAATTGTTCTTTGCAGGGAGAAAGAAGGTATACAGTCTGTCCAAATGCTGAACCAGTAGTTCCTCTAGATGCCGGCTCTTCAGGATGTCACCGTGGCCAGACGGGAGGCTCCAGGCCAACAGTGTGGCGAGGATCTCCCGGGAACACCATGCAGTCCAAGAGTCAGAAGAAGGTTGGTTCTGCAGCAAGCTGCTAGCCACGGCCACACCTCCCTGTGTCTGAGCCTCTGCCCCCTTGCTCACCTGCACAGGGAGAACAGTCATACCCCAGGCCACAGCAGGACGTCTTGGTTGACCCTTACCTCTGCAGGTCCAGGTCAGGTGGAACCCCTGGGCTTCCCTGGGCAAGAATTATTTCAAGTCCAAACACAAGTTTGCTTCTGAGAATCCACAATATCACCCAGATCAGGACCTTGGGTGATCCAGGGTGAAAAACTGCCTGGCCACTTCATTTTTGTTGTTTTATCAAATACTATGGACCTTGTGGAGGGAGGCGGTCTCTGATACCCATTTCCTCAAATTAAAACATCAGGAAGATTTACACTTAAAAGCAAAAAGACATTTTTTTTCTTTCTAAAGATTCCTTCCAATATGAGCGGCACACTGATAAAATAAAGCTCATGGAAACAATAGGTTTTTAGAAAAATGGACTGAACATAATTAAAAAACAAATGTCACACCGTGGCTCACTCAACAATGATCAAGTGATTGTTATGGACCAGACTTTCACGACGCCACAGTTAAATTTTTGTTGCTTTTAAGGATGTGTATTTTTTTTTTCGCAGCAATGGGACACTATTGGCTTGAAATGCACTTGAAGTCTATCCACACTTTATCTCTGAAGCCTCAGAAACATGGGCAGTCATGGAGCACAGGCTTTGAGGAACTGAGGATTTACAAAAACCGAGGACTAAGCGCTACTAGTACTCATCGTAATTATTGAGATCTGTGAAGTAGGCGTTGGAGTAGGTCTTCCCCGTGAGGTGCGGGTTGAAGTACTTGTTTCTTTCCTCTAGGATCAAGTTGTTTTTGTTAAATGCCTGCAAAATACATTATAGAAAGATTTAAGAATACTCCACAAGTAGCACTTCAGAGGGAAATATAACTAGGAGACCGTTATGCTAACTTGAGTTCTCTCCTAGGCTTCCCCTATTCTTGACAGTTTTCCTCATTCACTGATTTTCCCAGATCCATTGCCTCATGGAAGACTTGACTAGTAACTAGAATAAGGTTGGCTGCTTTGGGTATCTTCCACTCTACTTTTGAACTTTAGTTCGGAAGTTAGGAAGAGAAGTAGAGGGTCAGAAAACCTAAATCTAAACCCCTAGGAAACCATAACTTGAATGATTTCAAGTTAGCAGACACTTTGAAAGTCACCACATATGTCTAAGTATACATTTAAGTGGCTTCCCGATTTCCATGGATTGGTACACTCATCAGAGATCTCGACAGAACTTATTTAAGCAAATGTATCCAATTAAACTGCCTTGATTTCTTTTCTCTCTGCCCTCAGAAGGTGACTGATGCGGCCATCTCTGGACACAGATGGCTACCTCCTTAGTAGTCATTAAAGTCACCTGTAATTTCAAAGAGTACAACTATATCAAATAGAGAGTAAATATTAAGAGGACTAAAATAAAGATGTAGCAGAAGGGGCAGAGGCCAGTTGTGTAGGACCAGCCTGGACCAGGTGTCAGAATAAAGTTCTAGAAGGATTATTAAAGACCAGGCAGCAATCCACACCCTCCAGTTCCTCTGCTTTATGGCAGCAGCATTTCTGATCATCTTGAAAGTTACTGCATCTTAAGTGGGAACACAGACCAGCTAAAATCCCTTCTGCTTCCTGCATCAACAGGACCACAGGTAAGTGGATCTGCTGGACTCATGCAGAGGAGACCACTCGTGGGTTCTGGAAGCCTTGGGAAGGTTCTTGCTGATAAGAGTAGACATGTTCTTCCTCGCTCTCTAGGAGTTCATTTCTGAGAGGCTATGGGGATCTGTCATGAGTCCTGATGCTCCCTCCCTGGGCCTGTCACCTGGGGAAGTCAGTGCTAATGGATTCTGGACCCTGGTTTAAGCAGAGTCCATGGGTAAAGCCAACGGGCTGTGCCTCCAGGAGTGGAGGCCACACAGTAGGGAATGGACAAGGGAGGACAACACAGCTCCCGGGAAACAAGTTCTCCCCTCCACCCAAAGCTGTGAGAGCGAATATGTTCCTATTGTTGTGTAGAAAAGAAATCCAATTTCACAGAGAACCACTGGAACAGAGAGCGGACAGCAGATCTCCCTAAGAATGTGAAGGAAGTCCCCAACCTACAGGAATGTGGGAATTTAGTGAGATGCAGCTCAGGGTCTCACTAAACCCCCTTCCTCCATGTGGGTGGTAAGAAAGAGTAGGTGAGGTGAACAAGACCCTTGATGTCTCTCAGGTTACACCTGTGGCCTTCTGTGCAGATGCAAGAAGCCTCCTGTACATTAGGACACTGTCACAAGAACCGTGCAAGAGTGTGTGCCATCAGATAAAAGATGAAGACTACGATTTTAAAGATAAACATACTGAGGTGCAAAGAAGCTTGGGTCTGCTCCTGAAATGGGAGTGGGTGTCTGACTGCCCAGTGGTGCTCAGGGCCTCACCTGGGAGCACATCTCTGATGCCCAAGTTCAGGCCCCACAGCAAGGGTGGATCAGAGCTGAACCGGGGCCACAGACCTGGTATCTCCAGCAGTAGGTGTGCTGCTGCTTCATGTCCCTTTTTAAATTTATCCCCACATGAGATGCCGTGTTTTTCCAGGCAAAACAAAGCTTAAAAGGTGGGTGATCACGAAGGTTCCCTTACACTCCACCAACCCAATCACCAGCGCCAACACCAAGGACCTTTGCAGACAGCCGGCACCGCTGATTCCTCACCTTGATGGCCTCCACGGAGTCGTACTTGTCCAGTTTGTTGATGTGGTTGGTGATGCTGGTGTTGAGGGGGGCGGGAGAGACGGGGTGGATGACGGTCGCGTCATGGGACTGCTGCTGGTAGCGCTGGCAGTAGGTGTAGATGAGCAGGGTGAGGAGGCAGCCGAGGATGGAGCTGCTGAGCCCCACGGCGATCATGTGGAACATGTTGAACTCTGAGGGCAGAATCATAGGCATGCTACGCTCAGAAAGAAGGCGCTACCCCAAGGCTCAAGTGCTTAGAAAAGAGCCAGATGAGAAGCCCACTCCAAAATTAGAGAAATCGTAATCATGCTCCTCTTTGAAATGCTATGGCCACCAGGAGACTTCTCCACAGTGAGCACAGCATATTTAAATTCAGGCTCTTGGGGATTATAATCAGTTTTTTCAAGTCACCTTAAACCTGAATAAGCTAGCAGAATATCTTTTTTTTTTTTTCCCCTTTGAAGGCTTATACAGTACTCTTCTGTTATAAGAGCAGTATAATCTCTGTTCTCTGGGGTTTCTACAGCACAGTTCATTCATGTCTCTTAACAGGTGGACCTCCCTGCATCCAGGACTGCCAGGTCCCAGGACAGCAGGAAAGGCACTGACAGCTTCCAATTTCTGCGCATGGTCATGCCAGACTGCTTTCCTCACCCTCTTTTATTATTTCATCTTATTTAAAAATTGTTCCATTTATATAGATCCTCATGTTTTCCGTTTCTTGCACAAACATGCAATTCATAATAATGACATTAGAAACTCCCAAAGTTCTGAAGGAAAAATGTCTCTTTGCTAAAGGCAGCCACTCTCCCAGGTCCTTCAGGAGGAATTCTGCACATACATGTGCTGCAGGTGTACAAATATTATCCCATGGACCACTGTTTTTGCTTAGATTATATTTTGGTGATCTCATTAAGAAAATGGTTTACTCCAAAGAAAACAAGAATTCTAGTTAAAGGAATAAAATACAGTCTCCTGGTGACCGTGACCTATTGTTTTTATATTTAATCAGCATCTCTTCTCTTTGAGCGACTTTCCTCCAGCAGACTTGGACCTAACCTCTGAAACAGAAGTGGCTTGAGTGACATCAGGGCAGCCTGCCAAGACCTACCTATGTGGGCCTGAGAAACAGTACAAAAGTCGGTCTCCCCACGTGCTGGGAGAACACCACTATTACTTTCGCATCTTTCAGGGAACAAACACCAACACCCGGGCAGCTCTCACATTGCCGAGCTCAGGGAGAGTCACAAGAAGCAGACCATGACGTGACTTCCTACACTGCAATGGCCCTGCGTGAGTAACCACCTGCAGGTTGCTGGCCTCCTGTCTCCACTGCTGAAAGCACATCCCGAGGATCCCCATTTCCCCCTAAGTATTCCCTCGTTGTGTCACCAGTGTCACCTGATGCCCTCCTGTGATGGTCAACCCCAGATCCAAAGGCAGAATGGAGAAGTATGCTGGGCATCAGCCCAAGTCCAGAGGAGCCTGTCTGGCCCCAGAGACTTCAGGGCTCTTGGGGCCAGAGGGCCTGGAGGTCTGTCCCCACAGCCAGGGCCTGGTTGTTTGCCCCTGAACTGCCCAGGCCTCCCCCCCTGAGGCCCACAGAGCAGCTCTCCTGTACCCTGTGTTCCTCATGCCCGTTCCCAATGCTCACTCCTCAGGGATCCTTCCCAAAGGCACCAGCCCCCTTCTGGCACCTGGTGTCAAAGGTCACTAATTACTAGTCACCAAGGTCCTACTACATGCTGGGACCCCAAGGGTCCTTCCTGATCCCCACAGATCCCTGAGTGGCTGAGAGGTTCCCTGGGAAGCCAAGCCCCAGGGGACAGGAGACCCATCAGGGCCTCACCCATGCTAGATGGTAGAGGCTGAATATCCCCATCTTCCCCTGAACCCTGAGCTTTCTCCTGTACACCATGCTCCTTTCTGCTCGTGGGCACTGTGTTGCAGGAGCCCAGGGCCCCGAGAGATGGACTAGAAGCTGGAAGGGAGACCAGTTGGTCCCACTGGATGATTTTTTTGTGCAAACTTTGATTTTTCAACAAACTGAGAAAACAAGTCTGTGTTGCCCCCCAAGGTAGAGGTAGATGTACATGGTGAACCCAGCCTGCCCTCTCTGGGGTTCATGGTCAGCCAGGCCCAACACTCTCCTAAACATACTGTAATTCCAAATACATAGGCAATTCCTTACACAGGGGTCCAGATACACAGCGCTGAGAGCTGGACGATCCAGGCGGATATTACTAGAATATTCTATAGGTATTCCCCACACCCTGACAACCCCTTTAGTTTTCCACTTCCAGCTTATTTGGTCAGTGGTACAGGATGATGGAAGGACCTCACAGATGCCTGGCCTTTCCTGGTTTTGTCAGGAGCCTCTGCAGCTGGAGGGCTCCTGGGCTGTGACAGGTGGGACCTTTTCACCAACAAACACTAGAATTGTTTACTGTAACACTGAAGCTGTACCTAAGCAGGTATGATGTCATGTGAGTTTTCATTTCTGTATACTTTAGGTGTCAGGACTCCTGGGGTCAATACCACATACTGATAAAAACACTCTCTGCGGCACTGTTTTTATAACAGATGGAAGATGTATTACCATCTCCATATGCAGATAGTTTGTCATTAATCGCATGAATCATTCCTGCAGGTGCCTGGGGAAGGCCAGGACCAGCTGACATCTTTATGATGATCATGTTCTCTTTGTGTCTCATGCAACTAAAAATAGCTAGGTTGAAAAATCTCGATAGAAGCACATTTTCCACAGAGGGAAAAAATAGTGCCTATTGAATCTCTGTTGAATCTGTTTAGTGTGGCTCTTTCCTTGGAATATGCTTTTATTTTTTGGCCTTTTTTTTAGATAAACCTGAAATAAAGACCAACTGCTCAGTTGGTTCATTGGATGATATTACGAGCAAAATTTTATTGATTTTTCAGTAAACTGAGAAAACACATCTATGTTGTCTCCCTAAACATCCCCAAACATCCTTGCTAGGTAAATGCTTATTTTCACCTCTTAGCCTTATGCTAGGATCCATTTCTTCTCTTACCTGCTGTGGAATGTCCAAGTCAAAAGCTTAAAGACCTAAGGCAATCAGTTCTTAGAAGCTTAAAGACCTAAGGCAATGCAGAGTAATCCAAGCTTCTGTGATTCAGCCCACAGCACCTCATGATTGGCTCTGGTTTGTACAGCTCTTGGCAAAGTTGGTGCCAAGACTCAGAGCAGCATGGCAGTACAGGAGGGGCCTGCAGAACAGCTCCTGGGTCTTTGAGGCCCCAGAGGGATTTGCACATTGGAACAGGGTGGCCTGTCCTGGGCAAGGTGATGGGAGCCTCTAGCAGTGAGCATGGGTGACCAGTGACCTCTACTGCAGCCCAGCTGTGTGACTCTTCAAGTTCTGACTTGGCCTTCTGAGAATGGGAAAACACCTTAGGAACTGCTCCACTCCTGACCTGCCCTTGACTGAGGGCAGCTGACAGCCCTGGACCTGTGAGCTGAGCAAGATCGTCACCTAGCAGGGCTGCTGTGACTCGAGGTCCCTGGACACGGACATCTAGACCCTACCAGGTCACTTTTTCCATAGTGCTATGTGTTTAAAGCTCCCACTGTACCCCTTGCCAGGATCTCATCCCTCGCACCCTTGAGCATGAGCTGTGTGCACCTGGGCCAGGGCCTTACCTCTCTGAGCTTCACAGGCCCCATTTATGGCACAGGTACAAAGGCACGGACACTATCCCTTTTCTGCAATTCCCAGGTGCAAAATCCCTGAGAAGTGGTTTTCTCCATGTATCTGACAGTGACTCGTGGCCTGACATGACTCATTCTGCTGCATTAGCACCTCACATTGCTAATGTGAGGTATCGTTCAAGAGACTGATCCTGGAGCATAGCCCCAGACACTGTGGGTGTTGTATAATACAGGGTATGAGACCTAAAAGTCCTTCTAGAATCTGAAACCGTCACTTTCAAACTCTCCTCTACTTCCAAGGCTTCTCCATGTAAACTGTAGGTGGCAGTACCTAGCAAATTCACTTTGTATGGGCCATATGGGACACTTCTTCTCTGAAGCACTGAATATAATGTCTGGCACACAGGGCTATATAAACACATGAAGGGACACTAGCCACTGCCATCATTTTATATAAGCCCTTGCATATTAATCTCACAAGTGGATCCTGTATTAGCAACTGCCAGTTGGTGAGCTTGCTGCATGACTTAGATCATGGGAAGATGAATGTCCTGGCCTGTCTTAGGCAATAGGGTCTCTTATGAGTTCCAAAGGTGTTGGGGCCGCTTAGGTCTTCAATGTAAACCTGATGCCCCTCACAAAATCAACACAGAGTGGATGCTTAGCAAAGATTCTTAAATGAATTAGTGGACACATTAACAGATGGCTGACTAAACCAGATGTATAGACAGCAATCTCCTAATCCATGTAGTTATTAATGCTAAGTACATTCCTAAAACATGGTTAGGAAGCCCCGACTTCCTTGAGACCAAAAACAAAACCCAAAGCCTGCTGTGCTGAGCACTCTGGATTCCCCTGGTGGAATAGATTGTGGTGGGCATTGATATCTATTTGCCATCAGTCGTACATGTGAAGATATGGATGTTGGCTCAGATGTCAAAGTGGACATGGGCTATGCTTTGGTCTTTGGATGATAAGTCTTTTGTTCAGGCATATTTTCAATGAAAACAATAACTTTAAGGTTTGGAAGGTACAGACTGCAAATTCCAAACTTCCATATGCTTGAATCAAAGAATGTGGTTTTTGAGACTCAGTGTTGCAGTTTAAAAAATTTCTCTAGTGATGTAGGTATAATCTTGTACCCCCATTACAATATAGCCATTTCAGTGGGCTGGAGATTCAAGGTTAGGTGCAATGGATTTGCACATAAATATAAACAAACTCCTTGGATTTCATTTTATTCGTGGAAAATCTCCCTGAACTCATATCAAGATCGCTGGTTCATCAAGTGTTGCGTTCAACAGAGTCCCCTGCAGGGCTCACTTAGCCACGGATTGTTGTGCCCCACTCAGAGAGGTTCTGGTTCTGTAGTTGAAGCTGGGGCCTCAGAATTTGCATGTCTATTAGGTTCCCAAGGGATGCTGATGATGCTGGCCAAGGAACCCCACTCTGAGAACCACTGTGCCACATCTTAAATCTTGACTATTAATGTTTATGCAAAGGTAGATGTTTGGGGTCCAGGAGTTTCACCTCCATGTAATTCTTTGCCAATAGCAGAAACAAGGAAGACATACGGGGGAAGAAATATTTGGAAGAGACCAGAATACCAGTAAGAAACTAGTTAAAAGGAGGCACTTACCTCCACACCTTTTCTCCTCTACACTGCTTGATCTTGCAACAGATACTTCTGGAAAAACAAAAATCCAATCACAATGCATAAAGGGTGTTGGGAAGTAGGTTCATTTATTTACATTAATGTTTCATTTGCAAAAGGTCCAATGATTTTTTAATCTGTTGGGAGTCCAAGTTTCCAAAGCTTGATTAGTTTTCAAAACAAATTTATACTTGTTTATTGTTTCAAAAAACCCAAGAAGGATTGGTTCAGTCACTTTGACTAGGACAGGACAAGATTCATTATCACAGGAAAAAAAATTATGTGACCCCTTAGGCTGCAACCAAAGCACCTGCTGATTCCTGTTAGAATGTCCCCTGCCAGCCCTGGGATCTCTGTTCCTTGGTGACTATTATATTGCATCAAGACCAATGATCTTTTAGTCCCAGTGAAATGGAAGCCAAATCACCAAAGCTCAAAGGAAGTCACCATAACAAAGTCATATCCAGGAGCACATTGGTGCCCTTTATCATGCCATATCTACACTCCACAAGCAAAATGTCAATGAGAAGAGAGGTCTTCTAAGTGTCTCAACTCCCACCAGGTTGGGGGGAACATTTCAGGAGTCTAGTTCTCCTACATTGATTTTCCATTACAAAACAAAAATTATAAATATGTCTATGGCTAAACAGATAAATAACACAGTTCTGCACCCTACATGGTACAGGTGACTTACAAGGCTAAGGCTAATAATTGTTTCTCAGATACTATTATTTTTTCCACAAATGCAGGGAAATGAAGACAATTTGGTTCATGGAGCCCTATTGTTTCTTTGCAATAATTGGTTTGCTTTGGTCCACACTATAGTCCTAAAGGGCACGCTGGGCATGTGCTACGTGGTGTGTACATGTGCAGAGCACCAGCCATCTGTGAGAAGGCAATGGTGAAGAGCTACCCACAACAACTGAGCCCTGGTTCCACACCCCGTCTGTGACCAGAGGCCAAGCCACTTCTCCAAGGTGAGAATCATGATGCAAATCAATTTCCCCAAATATATTAACGTTCTTATAGAGAATGGACCTTGGTTTTCTGAGAAAACACACACATAATATTGCCAAAGCACTTAACCCCATATTAAAATAACCAAATAACATATTTCCATTTTTTAGAGAAAAATCTTCTATTAGAATCAATAAATTATAGATGGCATTGTGTTTGAAAAAATCTCACACTCAAGAAGTATTTCAAGTCTAAATCTGAATGTATCTACAAATCTGCACTTTTATCCCCTACAAACCATGAGAGTTGATGGGATCATCATCTCAGCTTCACCAGACACAGCCTCCGAGATCACACTGTGACCCGTGAACCACTTTCCGTCTAAATGTCGGGATGCTTTTGTTCACACTTACACCATCCGCTGCGCTTACCTGGGATGAAATTAGAGTCAAAAACGCATGGCCGGGTCTCGGTGGTGTTTCCGGAACACTGGACACCCACAGGGAACAGAAGGATGCATTGGCGGGCGCGGATCTGGATGCCAGACGCATCGCACATGGACCAGTCTGACCACTCTGACCAGCTTTCTGCGGGGGACAGAAGATGGGAGATGGGGCAAGAACTCCTGCTAAAATTAATCTGCCAAGGTACATGAGCTGGTTTAGGTTCTCATGTTATGTTTTTGATAAGATGTAGTCATAACTTCTGACCAGGCCAGTAAATAAAATACATGAAGATGGAAAAAACAAACAAACAAACAAAAAAACATGGTGTAATATAATCAGATATAATATGCTTCCATAAACATTTCTAAAGACCACCTTATTTTAATGCTATAAAAATTGTCTTTAGAGTCAATAAGCTAATCCATGAGACCCAGCAGTGAATAAACTACCCTCAGTTGGGGGCAGAAATTTCAATGACATTACCATTTCTCACAGGGCCAAGCTTTCCTGCAAAGAGCAGCCTCAAATGCATTCCTAATAAATTCCTGCACATTTCCACAGGACTCTGCTCAGACAACAGAAGGAAGGTGTGTTAATGAGAAATCCTCAGTGGCTGAATGGGAACTTAAAGCACTTTCTGGGGTTGGTTCAACAACAGTTTTGCAGAGTCAATGTAGCAAAGCCAGGATACCCTCAGGGCAGGATTCATTTCACCCCAGGTGAACCAGCACAAAAGAGCAGCAGGCCAGTTCACAAGCCTTGGGTCAAGTCCAGAAGAAGAGAGATGAAAGAATTCCTTGTCCTATGTATAAAAATGGCTGAAATCTGTCCAAATCACTCAGGCATACAGATGTGTGAAAAGAGAAACTCATATCTATGAAAAAAAGGTTTAAAAATGAACACTCCATATTATTTAAGTAATATTAACCAATTAAAAAAAGGCTACATTTTCTGTGCAGTTTGGAAAAAAAAAAAAATTTGGAAATCCAACTTGCACCTTGATCCAGGTAAAGGTAACAGCTTTTGCTTCAAAAATGTACAAAGGCCCTGCTATTGAAATGACTGAGAATTTGGTCTTGAAGCTCTTTTTAATATAACTGAAACTTTCCAGGAAGAAGAACCCCGGGAGCAAGCTAATAAACTATGAGGTTGTCGGCATCAGTGAGACCCAGAAGGGGGGATAAGAGGACCCATGTGTCAGGAGCCAGGCTGCTTCTGAAACAAGGAGGCTGCCTCAGCACAACCTGTGTCTCCCGGGGCCTCGGAGCTCCCTCACCCAGGTTCTGAGGCAGGTGTGAGGCATGCGGCACCCGAATCTCCGGTCCTCATGCTGACACCCAACAACAAAATCCTGGATCCTGACATCAGGTAAGATATTTGAAGATTTATTCGTTTTTTTTAAAAAATAATCTGATTAAATAATTAATTATAAAATTACTGATTTGATTTCATGCTTTATATTTTCTCTAATTGCACCACCTCTGGATGACAGGCCATCGAACTTGGGTGAGGTGTCCTCAAGAATGCCTACTGCCTCCCGTGACCTTTTAGCGTGTGTTCCTGAAATGCAGCTCTGGGGATCCTCAGAAGAAGACTGAGGCCAGGCCCTGGGCGAGCAGAGGAGACAAGGGACTGCAGGCAAGACACCCTCTCAGCCATCCAGCCTCCAGGGGGCGCTCACGGGTGCTTGTTTCTTCTGGCTTTCTCCCTAGCACAGCAAGGAGCTGCCAAGAGCCATTAGTGTTAATTAGTGAAGTGAAGGCCAAATCAGGATCTATTTGTTAATCAAAGAGCTTGGGTGTTATAATGACATGCTTATACTCACCTCTGATGTGATAAAGGCTTTGAACACCAGACAAAGTGAAAAGGATTTGATTATAGAACAATGGCTAGGAAGTCACATTAAGGGTGCCCCTGTGAACTGACTTGTTCCCCCTTCTAGGACTCCCTATGATGTGATACCATCGTCCTCCTCACCATTTACAAATCCGAAAGAGGTGAGCTGGCCAATCACAGTAGCTGAGTTACAGAACCATCCCAGATGCCCATCAACAGGCGAATAGATACTGAAAATGTGGTCTATATACACAATGGAGTTTTACTCAGCCACAAAGAATAATGAAATTATGACATTCGTTGGTAAATGGATGAAACTGGGGAACATGGTGCTAAGTGAAATTAGGCAGACTCAGAAAGTCAAGGGTTGAGAGTTTTCCCTGAGATGTGAAAGTTAGTCCAAAACAAAGGAAAAAGATGGGGGGTCAAATATCATACTGATATAGGGAAGATCAGTGGAGTGGAAGGAGATGGAGATGAGGGAGGAGGAAAGGAAAGGATGTGGAATAGATTTTAAAAACCATGTCACGTGCACTTATAAACATACCACAGGAAATTCTACCTGTAAGTATATGTAGAAAGCACCCATCAAAAATAAGTAAATAAAAGAGCACAAGGAAGATCAGTAGAGCCAAAGAGGAGAAAGGGGTGAGGGAGGAGAGAAGGGAAAGGGGGTGTCCGTACCGGGGACTGAAACGGAGTCAATCAAATCCCATGCATGTGTGATTTTGTCAAAAGGAACCACAACCTAATATGGATTACTGCATACTCTCTCTTTTTTTTTTTTTTTTTAAGGAGGAAAAGAGGTGAGTTTTCTGCAGGTCAGGCAGCAGGCAAGGTCCGCTTACCTGGGCAGGGCTGGGTGTTGCAGAGCGCCTCCTCCGTGTGCAGTCCCAGGCAGATGTCCCCTCCGTAGGCTGGGGCTGGATTTGTGCATGAGCGGGTCCTCATGTAGTGTCCACCCCCGCATGTGGCTGAGCATTTTGACCAGGATGACCAGCAGGACCACACGCCGTCCACTGGGAAGGAACACAAGGTCACAATGCTTCAGAAACCCCAACCAGATCCATCTGATGGAGGTGAAGACGGAATCTGCACTACAGAAGGCGTGGGTGCAGGTAGCAGCCGAGTCCTGGCCATGTGCGGCCATAGGAAGTTTCCCTGGGCCATCCATACAGCTTGGTGCACCTTCCCTTCCTTCTCCAGTGCCCCTTATCTGTTCTTTCAGAAAATGGTTCTAAACATGTCATGTCTCCAGATGACAGAGGAGCACAATGCATGCCCTACCAAAACCCCAGTTCCCCAAGAAGGAACACGCAGCACACTGTGGCCATTAAGGCCACCCCTGGCCAGCTCTCACCCTTGCACCATGCAGTTGGCCAGACAAGACTTACAGCCCCGGATCAGGAATTCAAGTCACAGCCCTCCTCATGGGTTGGATCATGGTTTGACAGAGGAGGAGAAAAAAATCCAATGGTCCCACTAAGGTCACTGATGGGTACCCCATAAATGCAGCCTCCAATCAAGCAAACCATATAGCCATGCAGACCTGGTGGCAGGTTTTAATGGCTGGAGATGTAATCTCAACATCAGCAGCCAGACTTAGGGTTGGGTATTAACTGTGCAGCTTCACCGTGTGAATGTCAGGCAGGACTGCTTCCTGGACAGAACCCGCCAAGACTGCTCATAAACAGAGCCCTTCTCTCTCTGCTCACATTAGCCCCTGTCTTCCCCAGGTTGGGATCCCGAGACCCACAGACCAGGCTCCTACACATCTGAAAAGATGCAAAGACTCAGTAAGCATCAGGGAAAAGCAAATCAAAACCACAGTGAGAGCCCAAGTCACACCTGTTAGGATGGCTATGATTTAAAAAATAAAAAATGTGGGTAAGGATGTGGTGAAACTGCAGCCATTTGTGTGCTGCTGGTATAACTGCTTATGAAAAACAGAATAGTGATTCTTAAAAAAATTAAAAATAGAATTACCATAGGATCTAGAAATCTCACTTCCAAAAATTGAGTACACCAGAAAAAAATTGCAATTATCCTCTCTAAGAGATATCAGCAATTACATTACTATTCATAACAGCTAAAATATGGAAACATCCAAAATGTCAATATACATAGATAAAGAAAATATGGTATATAGATACAATGGAATATTACTCAGACTTCAAAAAGGAGATCTCTCCGTGTGCAACAACATGGATCAGCAGGAGGAGGACATAATGCTAAGTGACATAAGTCAAGCAGAATGTGAGTATTGTGTAAGTCATGGCTGGCATCTAAAATACTCAAATTCATAGATGCTGCAAGTAAAACGGTGTTCCCAGGGGTGGGGAGGAAGGGACAATGGGGATCTGCTGTACAACCCTGGGCCTGTAGCCAGCAACACTATATCATGCATTTAGTGACCTGTTCATGTTAAGTGCTTTTATTTCAACACAAAAACAAAAACACTAGTGTGCTTCTTCACAATCTTCCCATAGCATGTATCTTTTGTGATCTCCTGCACTCATTCTATCCCGAGATATTCGGGATATTTTTTTATCCATCCCACATTTCCATTCACGCTATGCCAGTCCACATCTGATCTGGTCTAATAGCCCTCTGCTCACACATACCCACGGTCCCTCTGGGGTCATGAGCAAATCCTCCTGGCACAAGGTGGTTTATCCCATTAAATGAGAATACGGCTCCTGCTTGAAGTTCTGAGGAGCCCCTGGGCAGAATCCAGCTGCTGAAGTGGCCCCTGGGGAGCTCAAACCAAAGCTCACCTTGTGCTCGGCCCCGAGCTCCATTTGTACTTCACTGTCTGCAGGCACATCCTCTAAAGGCTGGGGAAGAGCTGCTTCCGTGCAGAGGGACTCAAGGGGAGTCCAGCCCAGCCTCCACTCTCTCAGGCAGTCGCATGGGGCTGGAGTTGCCCAGAGCCCCAGGTCACTTCCCAGCTGGCCTCCTAAGGGTGTCCTCCTCGCATGACAGGTTTCCACCTGCACCTTGGAGCACCGACCCTGGCCTTGAGGTGGTCACTGACCCTGGCTATGAGGTGGTCTGCCCAGATGGAAACAGATACGGAGCACCATAGTATGAGTTCATATCAGAAAGTCTGTACTATTTTTAAAGTAGAAACTACAGAATGCAAAGCTTAATGAAGCCGACTGCACTGTGAGGGGCTTGTACAACTCCATGTGGGGAAGAAGGGACGTGCCACTGAATCAAGGAGTGACACAAACCCGAGCCCGTGAGCGGAGAGCAGCAAGCCTGGGCATAACAAGGATAATAATGAGCTCAGTCACTGTGGCAATGGTCCTCACAACAGCCTTGGGGAACATTCTAGAAATGAGTGGCTCCGGGCACTAAGAGGTTAGGTCATGGAGCGAGTGACCTGGGAGCTCTGGATGGGAGGCTGGCATGCTATACATAAAGAACAAGGCGAACCAACAGTATGGGTCTGACGTCACTCCTGCCATTTCTATGCTAAAAATTCATGGGGGAATCTCCTGTGGCCGGGATCACCATGTAATTTAGCCTCTGAAAGGCTGGTTCATGGGGAGATCGGACAAATATACCCAAGCTCAGAGCCATGTTTCCCTCAAGGAATCAAAGCCATTAATTGCAGGGAATTGGTTTTTATAAAAAAAAATTGATAGATTAAGTAATGTGACAGAAGAGGGTACAAGTTTGGGTCTAGGAATTCTAGCCAACTACTCATCGCTACTGAAAAGTGAAAGGAGTGAAGTTACTAGCGATCAAAGGGGGCCAAGGAAAGCTAAATTCATCCACTCCCCGGGCATCCTGGGCACAGTCAGAGATATAAAGCCCCGAGGGTGAGGGCACGCGTGGTATGGTATCAATGCCCAGAACACTGCACCACACTGTTAGAGCTGAAGGAGAGCAGGGCACCCCACTCCCCAAGAACTGAGCAGAGGTTGCCCTCCTGGAAGTGAGGACTCGGGAGTCCAGCAGGGAGAGGCACTCCAGGCGTCCACCAGAGGTCAGTGGGGAACACACCCTGGATGCACTTGGACTTCATTCAGTGTCTTCTCCCTCAGAGGAACCGTCATAGTTAAATCTGATCAAAGGAGTGTATGTTGACCCTGTCAGGGCACACGGGGTCCCAGGAAGGCTTTGAGGTTGCTTTCATCCTGTTTCTGTATCACATGGCAACAAGGAACCATCTCTCTTCTCTACCTTTGTCAGTTGGGGTCTGGAGTCTTTGTGCTGAATCAAACACACCATGAAACAAAGGTGTGAAGGGGAAAGGACCGCCCATTTCTCAAGGTCAGAGGTGAATGACATAGGAGAAGGTTCTAGTTAGACAAGGCCACAGCAGGAGAGGAAATGGTCATTTCAGCACTGGCTCAAAGTTACACGTGACAATTGGAGATGGCATTGTTAGTGATTTGATTTAAAAGTCATTTACATTCCTCTAGGTCATTTATGTCTATGTTCATTTTAGATCATAGGGAAAAACTTCATTTAGAAATACAATGATCATTTGTAATTGTTCACCCAGCAGAATGAGTTGTGAGGAAGAGAACTGGCTAAATGAAGTCAAAAGCTTGTGAAGGTGGGCAGCTCAAACCCCTCAGGCTGGGGCGGCCCACGCTCCTGCTGAGTTAGTCTGTCCAGTTGTTAGGAATCCCCCAGGAAGTGGGAGAGTGTTGACATTAGCACATCCAGACTGAACTCAGCTACTCCCCAGTGGAAAGTGACATGGCACTGTGAACCTCCACGACACTCTATGGGACCTGGCTTTTAAAGGAAAATGAGGCCAGAGCTATTTCAAGATATTTAGGTCATGTATATATAGTTCTGGTTTGACTGCCAAGTCAACTAAAAAAATAGAAAAATAAATAAAACAACCCACAGACGATGCTAATGGAGTGTTTGAGATGGAGGGGCCGCCTTCGCACTCAGGGACCAGGGCAGCCTCCAGTGTCTGGAGGAATTTGTGTTCTACTGATAGCAGTGAGGAAGTGAGTGGAGCCTGGGGAGGTGTGGGAGGGAGGGGCCCTGACATTCCCATGGCAACTTCCCGTGCTCCAGTTCATAGCACTGACTCAAATAGAGAGATATCGCCCACGGGCTCCCTCCCAGCACCCAGGGGAAGAACCCTGCCATGGGGCTGTGGGAAAGATCAGCTCTGTGACCTTTCCCAGATTCTCTGCATCAGCTTGGCTGGGAAAGTGGGGTAGTCAAGGGAGGAATCTCCTGAGGCTGGAGAAATCCAGGCTGAGATGCCCTGGGAGAGCAGTGCAGCTGTCAAGAGCAGGGACATAACGGGACGCCTCTGCTACAAAGCTGGGAACTGTGAGTCCAGTTTTATCTGCACACTTATCCACCCTTCTTCTGTATATCCATCCATCTATCTCTCCATCCATCCATCCATCCATCTATCTATCATCCATCCAGGCACCAATCATCCCTCCATCAATACATCCATCCATCCAGTCATTCATCCAAATATTCATCCATCCATCTATCCGTCCATCCAATCATCTAAACATACATACATAAGTTCATACGTGCATCTACCCACCCATACATCGTGCATCCATGCACCTCTCCTCATCAACGAATGCTTATAAAATACTTCCCACAGCCAGTTTCTTGCTCAAAAAACTGAGAAAGCTGTGTGTACTACTGGACAAGATGCTAAAATCTGATGCCATTAAAACCTCTGTACCCAGCTTTGTCATGACCCTTCACACCACTTCCCATCCCTTCCTGTCAATTGACTAACTCCTTTCTGTCCCTCAAGATTCAGCTTGGAAGAGCCTGTGTATTGCAGCTGTTGCTCTCCTAGCCCACTAGGTGCTTGGCCGACGTGGCCACTGTATCTTGTCACCATCTTAGCATCTGATGGCCATGCTGGCTTGACATTATTCACAGATGCCTTCTCCCCCAACCCCAGGCTCCTTTTTGATATGGACCACAACACTGTGTCTTTGCCATCCTGTGAGCATCACACAGTGGGTCCTCCAAACTGTTCAAAAGTGCTGGAAATGGAATGGGCAGAGGGAGGAAGGAAGATGGGTAACCGGCTGGTTGTTCACTTTCCATTCAACAAACACTTGTGATGGGCGTTTCTAGGTGTGCCAGCCTGTGCTGAAGACTGAGTTTCTGCGGTGGAACCATCCCAGGCCCTGAGCTCCTGGGCTTTCACCCAGGAAAAAGGCACAGACAGCATCCAGTGACCTGCACAGGGTGGCTGTGGGTCATTGGGTTACAGAACCCATGACCATGGGAAGGTCAGGTGGAAGCCATTTAGGTGACAGAGCTCCACTGGGAGCCACGGCAGAAGGGAGCTGAGACAGTCAGAATATCAGAGGGAAGACAGAGGGGTTGTAGGAGAACGGCAGATCCAAAAGCCCTGGGCTCTTTTAGCTCACTTTAATATCCTTGTGCTTATATGGAATTCAGTGCAACCAAAAGCCAGGTCCTTTTCCAGCCCTACGCAGCCTCCAGGAGAGAAGACTGCATTTTCAGAAGATGGGAAACTTGAGGTAGAACCCCTCTAGCAGGAGACAGTGGGACTAGGAACTGAGCTGGCAGGCACCTGTTGGTACAGCTCTGACCCCTGCAACCTGAGAACCTGGGGTTAGTGGAGAACAGCAGGGAGGCCTGGGTCCCTCGGGTCCCAGGAAAGGTGGGTTGATGCATATTTCAGGGACATCACTTCTCTCCAGACCACATCAGAAGGGCCAACATCTCTGTTAGGGACAGGATCCAGAGCCCACAATCCTTACAGGGCATTGCTCTAAGAAGTATTTTAATTTCTTTTTAAAAAAGAAGAGGAAAAGGAATGTAATCCAGCCCAGATGCTGCCTGCCCTTTTCACCTGGAGATGTGAGGCCACATGCCAGCCTACAAAGGGGGCCGAGTGAGGCGTGTCAGTACTGGTGGACATGACTCGGGATTTGGCTTCAGGTCAGTTGGAGCAGGTGGCTGGGAATGGAGGACCCCTTTATTCTTCCTTTTCCATCTCACTAGGTTCATCCAACAGCTGCTGATATCACCTGACATTTCTTAAGAACATGTATCCCAACACCAGGCCACGGAGCTGAGAGAGCCAGGGTAAGCTAAAAGGCCGTCCTTGCTGTTGGACGTTTTAGATCACTGCTCACCTGGGCAGGGCAGGATGTTGCATTCCTGGTACTCCAGGGACGGGCCCAGGCAGGGCATGCCACCGTACTTGGGCTCAGGATTGTTGCAGACCCGCTTCCGGTTCCGAATGCCCCTGCTGCAGTCGCGGCTGCACTGTGACCACGACGTCCAGGCTGACCAGGCCCCGTTGACGGTGTGAGCTGAGTATCTCCCGGCTCGCAGGAAGTCCCCAGACAGGCCTGGCAGGGGAAACACAGAGCGTGACTCCACGGGAGTTCCTGCAGGGCCCACGCACACACTGGTCTGTCTGCATCAGCACGAGCTTCTCTCTAGAATTAGTCTTTCACACCTCAATAAAATACTGCAGCTGAGTGACAGCCTCCCATAACTCAGACTTCTTTCCTGAGCTGCTATGCAGTAAGGCTGCACATAGGAACCCTAATTGGAGATTACCAGACTATCCCTTATAAAATGTCCATCTTTAAACTGGGCTTCAGTTATCTTCCTCTCGGTGTTTCAATATAGGTATCCTTTCTTCTAACAAAAGCAGAATTTTACAAACTTAACAAGAGTGACTCATTTTGTTGCTCACCAGGCGGGTGGTGTTGGTTTCACTTATGTCAATAGGTGTATTTACCGATACCCTTTATCAAAGAAGAATATATATATATATATATATATATATATATATATATATATATATTTAACAATAAGATTGTGTGATTGCTGAGCTATGGGGAGTCTAGTCTGAGATAGAAAGTAAATTAGAAGATCAAACACAGGTACAGGATGAGAAGTGTACTTTTATAGCAAAAGGTATTTGTAAAAACTTTGGGGTCACCGAGTATCCCAGATGTCCATCAGCTCCCAGCTCCCAGTATCCCAGCAGGCCTCAGCCTGGGGACCTTTGGCATGTGAGCAGCACTGGCCACTACTCAGAGCTTTCCTGGTGGCCACACAGAGGAGAAGCACTGTCCCCCATGAATTTATCGCACCCCTGTCAATCCTGCCCTGCAATCCAGCTCCCCAGCTCTGGGGCATCTGTCAAGGCCAGCCCCTCTGGGCCTGAAGACCCCTTCTTGAGAAATGACATCAGTGGTGCCAGCCCTTTCTATGTCCCATTTATGCGGGAGAATGAAAGTAAAACCACAACACAGAAGTGCTGGGAAATGTCTGAGAAGGCTCTAGCGCAAGATGTAACTGTCATCGTGTTCATCAAACCAAGCTCCGAGGATGCGTCTGAAGAACACAAAAAGAGACGGAGAGCAAAGCAAAGAATGAGGCTCTTTGGGGCCACCAGGCTCTAACCCGCTTTCTCAAGGGCAGAGAGAGGAGCTCCAGGGAGACTAAGTGACCTGCCCAGGGGATAGAACTGCGGACGGAGCATTGGGACCAGACAGAGGGCAGGTCTGGCTCCCTCCCCAGGCTTTCTCCAGGCTGCTAACATGGCATTCAGGGGTCTGCCCAGTTCAGGGGGTGAAGCAATGGCATGTGTCCATGGCATTCTTACACATGGTGCTTCTTAACAGAAACATCCCCCGTATGAGTAAAACCAAAGAAATCCACTCTTCCTGACTTTTGTCTACTTTGAGGATAAATAAACTGAAATACTATTTTCACCTTATATTTTAGTGCCAGAAAACCTATGGAAAGTCCTTCCTCAGTGCATTTTTTCATCCAAAATAAATCTGACACAAACTACTGTGGACCTTTCATAAGCACAGTGTTATTTGGGCCCTGAATGCCCAGAACCATCTCCTATCATGGTGTCCCTTGTTGCGGTTTCAGTTACTTGTGGTCAACCACAATCATAAAGTATCAATGCTTGTGTTGACTCAGGGAAGAGACACATTTACATAACATTTACTATGGTATATCCTTATAAGTATTCTATTTTATTATTATTTATTGTTAGTAATCTCTTAATGTGCATAATTTTTCATAGGTTTGTGTGTGCACGGAAAAACAAGTTCGTATGGTGTCTGGTACTGTCCAGTTTCAGGTGTCCGCTGGGAGTCTATGAATGCATCCCTCCATGGACAAGGGGGGATATAGCTGAATTCTCATAGTGAGTGTCTCCCCCTTCAATTTGCTGTGAAGTCCACTCTGTTCTACAGGGATCACTGTGATAAAGACCGCAAAGCCACAATTAATAACAAGGACACACTACCCGTGTTCTTCCATGACCTTAGACTCAAGATCAAAGGCCTCCCAGGAGCAGTCCGTCCTCCCACCATCCCTCACCATCTGTGGAGCAGCCGCTGGTCCCATCGCTGGAACAGTACCGCATTTCAATCCTCTGCCTTCCCACTTCCAGCAAATTGGGATCGGGCAGGCGGGCTTTGCAGGTGTACCGGAATCGCTGTTCATAGTGGCCGCCATTGTCAGAGATGTTGACAGGTGTCCAGGGCGTCCAGGGCGTGGTCTTCTTCAGCTCAGGACATGCATTGGTGTTACAAGGCTGGTATTCCTAGGAGAGAAAATGCATAGTGTGTCTCAGCCCCCTGCATAGACGAAGCCCTGTCATGACAGCTGCTCTCTTTCAGGGAAAGGTAAGTTTTCTTAAAACTTCAGATACAAAGACACTCATAGCTGCTCTGCAAAATTGAAAACACATAAACAGAGAGCTCAGCTCTCAGGCCATCTTCACAAGGAACGTGCAGTTTCCCCCATATACACAATGAGAACAAGATAATAAACAAAGTCACATGTGGGAGCAAAAGGCAATTCCATAAAATCATCTTCATTTTCTTTATCAGTAATCCAAGGTGCTGATTATTTGGATATTAAGTTTATCTATTTTCTTTAAAGTATCAAAGTTAAAACCATGGAACCAGACTTGATTCTTAGACCATGTAATGTTAAGTTTGAGGTTTGTGGATATTGTGAGCCCTGGAGTCACAGATCCAAAGCACTGGGGTGGTTGAGTTTCAACAGAACACACACACCCCTCTTTCTAGTCTGTAACACATTTTCCCATCATCCCCCATTATGCACCCGATAGCCTTTGCAGTTTCTCCTCAGCCCCTCACTCCCAGAAATCTCTTAAAACAACCCAGGTGGGAGGGTCCTGGGTGGCCAAGCATGGAGTAGATCTGAGGGACTGCCAGGTGGATACACCATGTCTGGACAAGGTGGAATTTAGGACTAGGGTATTGACAATCTTCTTGGAACACCTCCGGGTTTATATGAAAGCAGTCCTAAATCTTATGGCTGCAAAACCAGGAATAGATGGATTAATCTTGGATGCAGTAGTTATCACAATTCCACTCTAACAAGAAAGGATGTTTCTATAGAGGGAAAACCAACAACGCATGAGGTAGCCAGTCACTCATGGCCACGCTTTAAAATAGTATTATCAATATTAAACACACACACACAAAATTTAAGCTTTATTATAAAATAAGAGAGCTGTTCTATCCTTTCCCTATCTCTTTGAGTGGGATATCTTGATACTACTACCACCATGGAGCTAAAACCCTGAACTTTCCAGTGTGTTAGGCATTGTGCATGAATTGTGCTGCAAGGAAAAAGAGGCTGTAACTCTTCTGTCTACCACATCACTCAGCCTTCCCATCTCCCATCCTCCTAGCATAATTGTGCTGTAATCCTAGTTAGATCAAAGTTCAGTGTTTGCATTTATCAGTAGGTGAACGCTACCCAGAGTGATGTGGTGAACTGCAATTGATTTATGCTTCTTGTTGGGCTCCCTCCAGTCCAAATCCAGGCTTCTCTTGCTTTGCATAGGTGGTTGTTTAGTTTCTATGAACTTGTCCTTTATTTTTTTTAAAGATTGATGTGAATTTTTTTATGCCTTTATTTTATTTATTTATTTTTATGTGGTGCTGAGGATCACACCCAGCGCCTCTCACATGCTAGGCAAGCGCTCTACCACTGAGCCCCAGCCCCAGCCCCTGAACTTGCCCTTAATTCATCTTCCATCAGGTATTCAGACACAGCAGGGAGGATACCATTGCCTATCCCTAAAAAGTCCCTCTGAGAACCCACTGACCTGCTCCAAACTGGCTTGACTGCTCTCTGTTTCCTGAATAACTCTGCACCTCCATGCTGGGCTTTTCTTCCTTTCTTTGTATTCAGTCTTTTATTTCCTGCATTGCAATACTTCACCCTTCTTTGTTGAACTTTCTTTTGCTAGAGCACATCCTGCAGCGACATCCTAAACAAGGGTGCTGGCAAGACCAATGTCTGGCACTGTTATCACCATAAGCATCTTTATGCTACCCTCAAGCCTGGTTAGAAGTTTGATGAAAAGTTTAGGCTGGGAACAATTTTGCTTCAGAATTGAATGTGAAGCTTCATGTGCTCTCTCTTCCAGTGTTGCATTAGAAATGTCAAGTCAGTCTCTTTTCTCATCCCTTACTTGTGATCTGTAAAAATCATCTGCAAGCAGCTTTGAGGACCTCCTCTTTGCCCAGCATTGTGGAAGGGCACAATGACATCCTTGTGTTTGGGTCATTTTGGTAAAAAATTATATTTTAATCTGTAAAGCAAAGACTTTTGTTTTAGAAAATTTCCCAATGACTCTGTGGGTTGTTTCTTCTCCATTTTTTTCCTTCCTCTCTTGCTGGTTCTCCTGTTGTTTGGATACAAGTTCTGATATTCAACATCAAGCTTCTTATCTTTTATCTCATATTTTCATCTTTTGCTTTTCTTTATAGAATACTACTTTATCTTTACCCTCCAAAATGACTTTTGGGATTTTCATCTCTTCTATCATTTTTCAAAGGCCCCTTTTCCATCTCTCATGGTCTTGACTGTTCTGTTACTAGATACAGTGTTTCCCTGGTCCCACAGCCATCTCTGATTTGAGCACAGTAGTGGTAATTGATTCTCTCTTTATCATTTCTGCATTGTCCACTTGCTGTTTCTCCTGGCGTGTATGGATCTCTCTTTCACATTAGATGATTTCCTCTTTATTTATGGGCATTCTTGGTTTCCTGCTTACATTAGAATATCAGGGCAAAAAGTTCACTGGAGGCCTGAGCACAGGGGAGGGTTTTATTGGCCATGATGGGAACTGGATGTGTTAGTCGTATGAAGAAAGCTATTAGAATCTTATTTATTGTTAGTTTGTTTGTTTTTATTGGGCTGTTCAGGAAGACTGTTCCAGGGCCCTGCCCATCTGGATGGTGGATGTTGAGCCTCCAGGGATGGGGGGAGAAGTGGAGTAAGAGGTTGGGCTCTCAGTTTCCAGGAGATAGTTATTTTAAATATACATATATTTAGTTATATATATATTGGGTCTTTGCTGAACAGATCAGGTCTAAGCCCCCTGGTGAAGTAGAAGTCAAGCTACTTTATATTTCTCAACAGCATTCCTGGAAGATAGGAGGTATGAAGTACTATGCTCAATATTAAAGGAAAATTATTCCAACCTAAAATTTCTACCAGACTTTTAATCAACTTTAATCATAGCATGGAGACAATTTCTTAAACAGAAGCCACCTAAACTCTATTTTGCTTCCAATAGAGAAAGTTGAGCTGCAGATTCCCAAGCTCTGAGATCTAGGGTAGGAAGTGGGAGGATTCTTCCCATCTCTGTGCTGGGGCCTCCAAGAACCACTTCTGGCTTCTAAGCCTAGACAGCAGTGTTCACAGGCTGTGAGACAGGACCCTCAACTGTAATTTACTACAGTGAGAGGATATGAAGTGAAACCAGCACAGGAAAGGCAAAGAAGAGCAGTCCCCATGATACCAGGCCCTACCCCACGCCTCTGCACTGAAGCTGTTCAGGAAACTCGCTGAAAACTCAGTGCTCAGGTTTTCCCCGGGGTCTGGTGTACAGGCGCCTCTGCCTGTCATGCACGGAAAGTTACACCCCGTTGTTTGCATCAATAGTTTGGGCCTGCTTAGCCACTCTTATCAGTCTGGAGATGGGGGAAATGATTTGAAATTCAAATTTCCTGAAGTCAGCCAAGAGCCAACCTTCCAAGCAGGCCTTTCTAAGGACCACATTCGGAGCCAGCAGCTGTTTAGATTTTTCTGTACAGTTCCTCTCTCTGAGTCTTGGATTCCTTTATCTTGGATATGTTTCCAACCCTATTAAAAAAAAATACAACCTGATTCTTCCTCTCTTTTTCGTTTCATAGCTTTAAGCCCTGAAAAAACAATCCCTTCGATACTGAATTCTCGATTAGTGAGAAAATGTGGTCCTGCATGTGTGTCCAGGACGCCAGCTTGACCTGGAAGCCTAGTACCCTCTATTCCATCACTGCTCTGGTTACTCCAAGTAGGGTTCTTTACTCTCCATCCATCCTTTAAATTTTTACGTTGGGCAGCACTCAGAAGCTTTTTATGTTTGTAATATCATAGGCTCTTAAAAGAAAATGCGTAAAGCAGTCATGGCGGCTGCTCACATGGAATGCCTCTAGCGCTCCCCCTGGCTCATGCCAGCTCCATGCCACCCACACTGGAGAGATAGATGACTTCATCCTTCTTTGTGGGCAGTGTTCTTTATTACGCCATCTTTTGGATGCTGCTTTTTAAATTAAAAAGTAGTCCTAATGAATGCCATAGATTGTAACATGCCATTACTAGACACGGAAGCCCATGAGAAGGATGAAATAAACCCCTGCCTGTGCCCGCGTGAGGGGTGCTGTCAAGACTGGAGTGAAAGCACCATAGCCCGTGCCACTTGCCCACGTTATTCTGTGCCAGGTTGGCTGGGCAAGGTCCAGGAGCCCTCTGCTGGAATGGGCTCAAGACACATGCAGTTTATGGATCTAGGTATAAAATGAGGATGTTGTGCAAATTAACAAGTTTGATATCACCTATGAAATAGTATGATAATTATAATCTTAATAAACAGGGAGACTACCCCCAGTCAAACCTACCTTCCTCCACCAGAAATTTCATCTTTTCTATGGAGGTGAAGTTTAGTTCTTGAAATCTCTCAGTGGTAAATGTATTTGAAAGCCAGTTCCAATGTCTGGATTGGCATCTCTGATGGTCCCAGAAGGACAGGTTGTCACATGTCCCAGGGGTGGACACAGTATGTGGCTGAGGAGGATTGGTGCAGGCTCACTAGATCTAAGATTCCAATAACTGATCCTGTTCTTCAGTTTTAATTTTAATTTCCTCAGAGTACAAAGTTTAACATGAAACTCAGGGCTTCTTTGAACTGCTTTGGATGGTTCGATTGTGATACACTTGCTTGAAGTATCAGATTATGAAAGGTTGAGGGATGGTAAGGCCAATCTGTTTTAAAATTATGACTCAAAGTATGAAGTGATTCAATTCAGTCATGATCACCGAGGAGGCTTAAGTGAATCTGTTTGCTACAATTTGGTGGTGTACTGCTGCCGTACTGTCTAGATTTGAATGGACCTTGAACACCAAGAAATGATTCTAGGGAGCTAATTCCTATTATTTGCTACATAGGATTCTCAATATTCTGGTGGAATTATTAGATAAGAATGGTTACTAAAGAAATTTTAAGGGCTGGGGATG